GTCCATGAAAGGAACAATTGGTACATAATGACTGTAATAATCGCTATGGAAAAAACCCTCCTCTTATGTGCTTCTTAGTGCTATTCACAGGCAGTGCACGCATATGCCTGCCCACACACCATTAATGCTAATAGCGGGGATTAGATGTATACTTTGTGTGGCATGTAAATATGTCTGTCATTACTGAGCGGGTGAAAACCTCCAGTTGCGCCGTAATGACATGCTTCGGCTCAGCCAATCAAAGGCTTTTGTTCGGATTGAGTCATCTACATCATCTGACGGAAGTGTGATAAGGAGAGTCTTGGGTGTGTCCCTGCTGTCTTTAGGAGCACTCCAATCTATAGGATTTTTTTTATTTGAGACTTGCTGGTGTGCATTCAATCTGGCTTCTGCTGCACAGGTAGCAGCAAGAGCAGTGTACTATAGATCAAATTCTTGATCATGCTCAGCAGGGAGGGAATGGAACAGAATATTTGCTGCAGAAAAAGTCAGTTTTTGGGCCTGAATGATCAAACCTCTTCTTTTGCTAAACTGTGGCTGTAGGCAGAACACATAGTTTTGGAATTGCTGCATTAGTCCAAGAGTTGAAGTTTTGAATTGAGCCCAATTTCCAAACTTTCCCACCCAACTTTCCCAGAAGATGCTTTGGCTGGCACAGATGCCATCAGATCTGCGATAGTATAAAGCACCGGCCAGCACATGCTGAGTGAAAACAGACACACACACACATGCACACGCACTCACACACACACACAGTTTCAGGCAGTGAGTTTGATCCCACTGATCCACAAACTGTCCCACCTTGACACCCCCTCCTTTTTTCCCCTCCCTTACTCTCCTCCCTCCTTTCTCTCCCCTGCTGTGGGTCTCCTCAGGCGCATGAATGGAAGTCTTTATTCCCGGGAGAACTGGTGGGAAGAACGAGAGAACGAGAAACAGGGATGGGGGGGGGGGCAGAGAGGTAGGCAAGGGAAAGGGGGGGTTAGCTGTGAGAGTGGCTGCAAGATCAACACAGTGCCACAGCTCCTCTTTTTTTCTCCTCTGCCGTTTTTCCCTCCTTTTCTCCGCGTAGCCGTCCCCCCCTTCCTTTTTTAAGTGCAGTGGACACAAAGCCGTGTTAGTATTCATGGTGTTTGTTTGCAGAACCCTGTGTGTGTGTCTGTCTGTGTGTGTATGTGAGTGTGTGTGTGCAGAGAGCTGTCAGAAACACAGATCACAGAGAAGAAGCAGCACTCTGAATGGAGCTGGAGAGAAGCGGGCAGGGGGGAGTAGAGGGGGAGGGAGGGAGGAGAGGAGAGGGGAGGTGGTGGTTCCCACAGGGGGAGAATGGTCAGCACCAGAAAAGAGAAAAGAAGAAGAAGAAAGGAGAGATGAGATGAGGAGGAGGGGGGGGGGGGGCAGTGCACGAGGCCACAGGGGCAGAGGGAGACAGCGTGGTGTCAAAGCCAAGGAGAGAGAGAGAGAGAGAGAGAGTGAGAGAGAGAGAGAGAGTGTGAGTGTGTGTGTGAGTGAGAGAGAGGGATCATATCAATCATAAGGTTTCTGAGGGAACTAGTTGTAAACGGGTCCAGGCACCTCTCTTCTTGTTTTTTTGCTGGTCCAATTCTTCCCTCCCTCTCTCTCTCTCTCTGCCGCTCTCATTCTTTCAGTAACACCCCTCCAACCCCCCACCCCTCTCCCTCTCCCTCTCTGACTCGCTCTCTCTCTCTCTTTCTCTTTGTGTGTCTGTCTGGACAGCTGCCCAGTTCCATACACAGGGAAAAATGAAACACTCTAACCACCGGGCGTGCAGCCAAATAAAAGGCTGCGAAAAAACTATTTGAAGGGCAGCGTGTTTGTGTGTGTGTGTGCGTGGAGTGTCTGTGCATGTTTGCCTGTGTACGTTTGTGTGTGTGTGCTGTTGGGGTTGTGAGATTTGGGTGTGCCTGTTTAGGGTGTTCTTTCCCAGTATAATGGTGCAGCCAGGGTGCTCTGTGCGTGTGTATGTGGGTGTGAGGGAGAGGTTCCACTCTGAGGTTCAGTTTATTCAACAGTAGAAAAAAAACTAAAAGGCTGCAGGAGAGGAGAGGGGCAGGACGGGGCATCACATACCTCCCCTCACATCAAAACTGGAAGACAGAGGAGTGAAACGTTTTTCATCCAAATCCAGATTTAAAACACCCTGCTGAGTGCAAATGTTACATCCAGACACACATTTGTCAGTAAATAGATGCTGACTCATTTGCCAAGTGAAGCACTTAGTCACATATTATCCATGACCTCCTCCGTTGTGTTCTGACCTTATCTGATGGTTACATCACCAGTGGAAAGGAATGTGCGGCTCCATATCTGCCTTGATCCTGGTGTTGAGGAGACTTTGTGTAACCGCCTGCGACAAGTCCGTGTTGTAACAGTGCAAGCCCAGAGGAAGACATCCTAGCAATGGTTGTTGACCTAGCTGCAGAGTATACGACCCCGTAACCCCAGAATGCTGCGGCCCTGAGAGCCTCGAGGGAGGGAGAGTGCATCAAATAATTTGAGTACTAAACATGTGTTGGGTTTGTTTTGTGCTGCATGGCCCTTCTCCTTATCTGTATCTGATCTGAGGGGGGCTTGTAGAGGAAGGACAGGGTAGAAAGGGTTTGTGGCCTCACAGCTCTTGTGCTTGTGGGTTTCTCCAGGGTCAGAGTCCATGATAGTGCTGATCCCCTGACCACTGCCCCCTGCTGCAGGCCAGCAGTAGCACAGGGAGATGACAGTCTGCACTCACCACATTGCAAGAACAGGGTGGCATGTGTACAACAGAGAAATGAGTATAGAGCAATATGTTTCTGTGCCATTGCTGCATCTGTTAAGAAACTTAAGAGTGTGTAGTTTTACAGTGGATGATCAGGACAGCAGGACCTCGAATTCTGCGATAAAGGGGGAATTCAAATGTTACATAGAGAAAAACGCTGTACCTGTGTACAAAAGGCAAAGTAACTTACCTGGTAACTGGTTTTAATGTTGTGGCTGATCGTTGTGTATTTGTTTGTGCGAGTATCAGACAGTGAGTGTATTTTCCCTGGAATGTGAGAGGCGTAGAGGAGGGGAGCGGGAGGAGAGGGTGGTAGAGGGAGGAAACTAAGAACAAAAAGCTGAACTGGTGCCAATAACCCAACCTCAACGGGGGGGGGGGGGGGTTGAGCTGCCTATCTCTGTTTTTTCTTCTTCTTTTCTTTTACTCTCCTATCAATTGTAGGAAAGGTGTCTATGCCTCCTCTTTTTATTATCTCTTTGTGGTTGCTGTTCTGTGGTTAGTGGGGAGGATACATTTTATATGTGTGTGTCTGTCTCTAACCACCTCTATCTACCCATCTGTCTCTTTCTCTGTGCCCTCCTTTAACCTGAAACAGGAGGTATTCTAGGACAGGTTAAATGAGAAAGCATGTGTGTATCAGGTTTCTGTCATCTTATCCCTCTGTGGACTCACGTTGTCTCTTCTCTGGTGTCACTACGTGCACACACGTACACACTCACACATACATGCATCTCAGAGCGAGAAGGATAGTGTGCTTCAGAGATAAATGAGACTGTGCACGTGTGTGTAATCACATGCATTTTCTGGCGTTGTTAATCATTTACACTGCTCATTGAATGCTTGTGTGTGTGTTTTCATGTTATTCAGCATTCATGTGTGTGTGTTTTTGTGCATGTTAGTGTGTGCGGCCTGCATCAGACTGATAAATGGCTTCTGCAGCCAGTGTGGAAGTAGAAAACGAGTGTCACTGCCTTGCCACTGATGGGACAGCAAAGAGAGAGAGAGAGGGGAAGAAAAAGGTTGGGTAGCGAGAGAGAGGGATAAAGAGGGATAGAGCAGATAGAAAGTGGATAAAGAAGTGAAGGCAAAACAGGAAATTGGCAGGTTAAACAGTAGGAGATGAAGTCCTTACAAATATGTACCCTGTGATAAGAACTCCATACGTACATTTCATTATTGAGTGTGTATGTGTGTGTGTGTGTGTAGCTGCAAAGACAAAAAGCTAATCACCTGGCAAGCTGCTGATACATGCAGAAAAAATTGATTGCCCGTCTGGTTTCATACATTAGCATTTTCTGCTTTTATGTGTGATGGCAGGATTGTGTAACGCTTTTGAAATGTGTACATCTACGGAATGCACGTACGAGTGTGTGCGCTTGCATTCCTGTGTGTACATGCTGAGAGGCAAGCCTGTGGTTAGGTTACATCTCCCCGCAGCGCGGCAGAACAGTGTCTTGTTGCGTCATACAGAGTCTGTTAATAACAGGCTAAACCACAAAGGCCATCCGCTGCTCTATTTCTCATCTTCCAGCAGTACAGTGATTAAGCTGCAGTGATGCGTTAGGCAGGGTTATGTTGTGAAGGCATATCAAGCTTTTGCATTTTCAGTTCTACATGCAAGTGAACCGGGCACTGAGTGAAGGTCGACCCCGTAATTGTTGCTGTGGCCCTCCACTGGAAAAATGGAGATAGATTTCGCTACAGTTGTCAGGACATATATTGTTTACAGTGTGACAGTGCTAAGTGTGTGCGACCGAGCTGGGCTGCAGCGTTTAAAACTGTGTGCAGTCATACACCCCCGACGCCATCCCCCCAGCTCTCACAGCATGCAACATCCTTGCCACAGGAATTTAATTGCTCTGTAAACAAGCCTTTTGTTTTGTTGCACACTGTTTGCTCATGCACACAAGATGTATTATAAGCTTCAGTCCTGCCGTGAAAAGAGAAGAATGTCATATCAGAGCTCAACAAATCACTGATTTAATGTTGGCTGACAAAAAAAAAGAAACTGCATGCAGACATGGATGCAGTGCTGCATATGTATTATGTCTGTGAAGATAGGCAGGAATAGGGTGTAATGCAGATAAGGAAATAGAGTGGTAGTTGTTTTATGACTGCATTATCATAATATTCATCTATCCATGCAGCTATATAAGCTTGTTTTGTGATTGCGGTACGTATGTAGTAACCAGTCCTTCTTTTTATTTTCTCTTGTCTCCAGACATACGAGCGCCAGTTCAGAATGCCTGAGCAGCGAGAGGGAGGCCTGCTGCAACTACTGGGAGATCACACTCCACCCAAACACCAGCTTCGCAGCTCCCTCCTTCCTGCACACACACTCACACACACACAGCAAACACTCACTCAACAATTCCAGCATACACACCAACACCAGATCAGTCGAGACTGGATCACGTCTACGGCACCTTCTGCGTCCCCGGCAAATCCTGCAGATTCTGAGCCAGCCAGAGAGCTGTCAGGTGCCGGTAGGACCACGTTGCTCGATTCCAACCAACCCTTCTTACGAATGGCGACACAGAGCCCCTCTCCTCAGAGATCACTGACTCCAGACCTGCAGTTGCCAGTGGTTACAGATGCCAGTATTCTCAACCTGACGTCTCTCAGCAGGTGTGGTTCATTTACCTGGTTACTGGGTGTTATCATGTGGTAAACAAGAACACTACACCAAAAATACTGTATGCCTTGCATAGCTGAGGGGGAAAGTTGATATAGAATGGTGATATTTTGTGTTGCAATATAAAGTTTGAGTGTTTTTTAAATGAATTGACCAGCTCCATGATGAAAATGAAAAAAATCTATCTAAAAATAAGCAGCATATTACAAAATATCTCAATGTATAAGACAATATTTAAAATATAATTTAATTAGGCCTCAACTGTCGTGATAAAATCATATCATGAAAGTCCTCTGGTGATAAACCATCCCTTTGTATGGTGCAACACAAACATAGTAAATGTTCATACTGGTTTTGGTGAAACACAAAACATTCTTTCTCCCCACTCATCTCAGTGTTTTCTCTGTGTGCATCTCTCCAGGGGGAGGGGTTTGCAAGAGGTCAGCGAACAGCTCTTTGGGAACATCAAGAGGAAGTACGGCAGGAAAGACTCCCAGAGGATGCTCTGTAACCCCCACAGTGCTGATTCACCATGGGGAAGACAGACAGAGAAGGGGTCGGAGAGCCCAACTAATTCAGAAGAGAGGCAGAAGTACAGGCAGGAGGAGACAGCTGAGCGGTTCCATGAAGAAAGAGAGGAAAGGACAAAAGAGGACAGGGAGCGAGCAATTGCTGGGAGGAAAGGAGATGAAGAAGACAGAGGGATGCACATGCTGACAGAGGAAGGGAAAGGAAGAAAGAGGCGGAGGAGGCCCTCTTTTGACAAGTCATTTTCTGTAGTGGAGCAGACACAACGGCAAGACACTGACTCTGCAGACAAGCACCAGCCGGGGCCCCCAGAACCCAAAGTAGCACATAAGATGGAGACTCACAAAAATGATTCTCGTCTCACAAGTCAAGCTGATGTCAGTGGAGAGAGGGTGGAAAAACCAGAGAGAGTAGATAAAGGCGATAAAAGAGAAAAAGGAGATAGGGCAGACAGGGTGGAAAGAGGAGAGACACTTAAAGGCAGACCTGACCCAGAGTCAGCTCTCAGTGCAAACAGAATGAGAAAGAACCCTGTGGGTCGTCCTAAAATCAGCACAGACATCCTTAAACACAGAGAATCCACTCACAATCTTATCAACAAACCCATTCTTAACACAAACACCAGACTTCCAAGCCCAAATCCCAGCCCCAGCCCCAGGGGTAGCATCAGTCCTAGCCCCAGCCCTAAATACAGAGCTAACATCAGCCCCAGCCCCAGCCCTAGATCCAGGATGGCCCTGAGTCCTAGCCCCAGCCACAGCACCAGCTCAACAGCCAGTTCCAGACCAACCAAGGCCAAGGACAGATGGTCCTACCTGAAAGCTAAAAGCCATGCCAGCCTCACGTCACCCCAGAGAGACAACCGGGGTAGCCCATTGACCCTAACAGACCCACCCTCAGCGTTTCCCATCACGCCCTCTAGCCCCCTTTACACCAACACTGACAGCCTGACCGTCCACACGCCCATCAAGAGGAAACGAGGGCGCCCCAAGAAGCAGCCACTCCTGACAGTGGAGACCATCCATGAGGGCACGTCCACATCTCCTCCAAGTCCACTGGCACAAGAAACATCAGCAGGGCTAAATAGTAGGAAGAAGACGCACACAATGAACACATTAGTGCAAATGGCATCTGCGACCACCAGTGCCAACTCTAACAGTCTGAAACTGAAGCGTGGTAGGGGCCATTGCAGGCCAGTGAATAAGATAAAGCTGGGGAAAATGCAGAGCATCCTGAACGAGATCCTTTCAGGTTCCAGTCAGAATGGCAGTCTGCCTCTGAAGTCATCTTCTGCCCCCGTTACCTCAGCAATGAGCGCCATGGCATCCACCATTGAGGCTCGACTGGGGAAACAGATAAATGTCAGCAAGAGAGGAACCATCTACATCGGTAAGAAGAGAGGGCGAAAACCCAGAGCAGAAACCCAAGGCTCCAACCCTAACAAAACCACTAGGGACAAGCTTCCGCTCTCTGTCTCCACAGCCAGTCTCTATGAGAGCCCTGTAGTGCCTTCCACCACCATGTCTCCCAGCTCCAGTGCTCCATCCATGAGAGCCAGCCACCCGGATACCACCATGCCCAGTTTGCAACCCATCTCAGCCCTGACCTCTAAGCTGCCCACCAGGGGCTTCCTCTCAGGAGGGTGGAAACTCTCTCCTCCACGCCTTCTGGCAAATTCTCCCTCCCACCTGTCAGAGGTGGCATCAGTGAAGGAGGTGACCCTGTCTCCCATCAGTGAGTCCCACAGCGAGGAAACGATTCCCAGTGACAGCGGGATTGGGACAGATAACAACAGCACCTCAGATCAAACAGAGAAGGGTTCCGCCTCAAGACGCAGGTGAAGTGACACTTCTACGATACTTATTTAATTTTACCTTTATATATCGATAAAGGGGGTTGTTTTTAATATGAGTTGCATGTTGTGTTTATACAGGTACTCATTTGATCTGTGTGGGTTTGAGGCTGTGGAGGCAGCAGCTCTGGAAGCATCTAACAGGGGCAGCAGAACACGCTGTGAACGACAAGTTACTGCTGTCGACAACTTCCTGTCACAGCAGGAAAAAAAGCAAAAACATCATCGGCGGAAGAGGAAGTGCCTACAGAGCCGGGATCATCTTCACTTTCTCTCTGAACTGGAGGAGGTAAGAAAGACTTTTATAAATTCTGTGGGTAACGTTTGACCATCATGTGCATGTGGTGTATTTGCCTAAATGTTTCCTCTCTTTCCCTCTAGGTTGTGGTGAAGCTCCAGCAGCTCAGAGTGTCTCACAGACGATACACCTGCTACCCACAGCACCCATATCCCTCCATCTTCCGCCTCAACTTCCATCATTACTACCCAGTTACTTATGACTCCTACCCCTGCGACTCTAGCGCTTACCTCCGCAGGAGTGCCGACCTGAAGGCAAAGAGGAGACGCGGCCGTCCAGCCAAAGTCAGCGAGCCAATCACATCAAAGCTGCCTTTTGTTCAAGGATATAGTTATCCACTGGCAGGGGGAAATTTCTATGCAGCACCGTATGCGATGCCTTATGCACCTCCTCTGAGTCTGGGCTACTATCCCCCTGCTGCCCCATTTTACCTACCCCACCATTCACTAGGACCTGCACCTCCATCTCCCTTCATGAGGCCTGCTGTCCCCCCTCCCAAGGCTTTCCACTCCAGTGGACACGCCAAGCTTCAGGCAGGGGCCAAGCTTCGCAGCACCAGTGGGCCACTCCAAGGGCCCTCTGTAAGGGGAGAGGGCCTTGGCTCCCTGGGCAGTGGCAGTGCAGGTGGTCTTGCGGGGGTTCGTCTCCATAAGAGGAAACATAAGCACAAACATAAGCACAAAGATGAACCCCTCCTTTCACCGCGAGACCGTCAGGAGTTGGGCGGGCTCTTCAGTGGAGCGAAGACCACTGCACGTCTCAGCATGCTGAGCGACAGGAGGGACTTGTCCAGTCAGGGGTCTGCAAAGCATCTAGAGAAGCAGAGGGGCATCAGTAGAGGCTCAAGCCTGGGCTCCAGCTTAGGGATGTTTGAGTCAGACCAGCTGTCCACACACTCTCTCGTTGACAGCCAGTTACACTCCCGTCAGACTGGACAGCCTATAAACAGCTTCATGAGCAGCTATAGCAGCCAATCGCAGCGATCAGAGTCTGCCTCTGATCTCTTTTTGGGGTCACGGGAGGACGAGTGCGGTGGGAGGAGCAGGAAGACGAGGCTCGCTGTGTTTGGAGATCAGGGCTTAATGTCATTCCAAACTGCCAGGCAGGAGCCGGGACAGATGAACCAGTGCTCCAGTCCCTCCCTTACTGGTAAGAACCTCTTATATCAGGATTCCCTGTTCACTCTGTATTTACAAGGGAGTGCGCTGCCCTTTTGCCATGATCAGAAACCATGACAACAGGAATGTTTTTTTTCTTTGGACAGCGGCAGCATGGTATTGGCTGTGGCATAACTCACTTTGATGAAGTGTTGGAGGTTTGAGGTTAGCCCAAACTGCAATAAGCGCCTGTTGCTTGCTTGTCTTCATCTAACCAGTTCACTTATGGTTAGACTTCCTGTAGCTACTTAACATTTTAATCCACACTTGGTTCACCTATGGAAAAATAATGACATGAATTAGTAGGGGGTGTTTGGGTGATCAACACCCCTGGAACTCATCCCAGATGAGAGAGTCTACACAGTAGTTAAAGCACCAAAAGACACACACACACGGTGTTACGAGCCACGTGTGTACAACTTTAAGCTACCAAGGTTGTAGAACTGGATACGCTGCTTAATCAGAAGGATTTTTCTGCAGCATGCTCACCAAAGTGGTACCTATATACAAATATGCTATGGACTACATTTCTCGGGCTTAAATCAGACAGAGAAGCAGAGTAGACCTAAAGTCTGTCTACCAAGCTAATGTGTATTTTGGTACATTCTGTATTCTGATGTCTTTGAGCACATCTGGCTGGGGATAGAAAGAACATAATGCATGGATGGAGACGACTATAATTCACCAATCTCTCCTTCCTCCCCACCCTCCCTCCCTTCCTCCTCTCCTGCCAATGCCTTTGCCAGAGATATATTATTCACACAGTGTGATTTATTTTCTACAGACATGCCATAAAGGGCCCTTGCCTGTGTTAAAAGAGCTGGCTGGCAGCCAGGGGTTTAATGACTGGGGCCTAGTCCAGTGGCGGGGAGGAGAAGCCAGGGGCTCAGTTAGAATACACCCCACCCCCCCACCACCACCACCACTACCACCCCAGGGGATCCAGGAGGGATGACTCATATGCACAAACTGCCACCTCCCCCTCACCCCTACACCCCGACCCTACTCACACCCCTGCCTTCCATGTTTTCCCTCCAGTGTTGTTCTACCTCTTCTACCTTCAATGTCCTTCCCTATCTCCCCTTGTGCTGCTTCTGCAGTTTTTGCCCTTGCTTTCCTCCTCTCACTCTCTCCCACTATCCCCACATCCGTGCTCAGACATCCCCTTGTTCCGCCACCCCTTCCTCCCCTTCCCCCCTCTATCTCTTTTTCCCTTCTTCCAATTCTCTTTCTGCTTTTTCCCTCGTCTCCCCTCCCCCTCGTTTCCCCATTACCCTCTCTTTTCCCCATTCCCTCTACCCCTCCTCTACCATGACTTACTGCTTCACTTCACAGCTTTAGCCCAATTAAAACATAGAGGCGCGTGCACATAGACATGCATGCCACACAACCATACATATACATATATGCATTCACATGCTGACTCTTATACCCAGAGATATATACACACACAGATCAAACAGATCCCCATTCTCACTCTGACAACAGAAGAAAAAATTATATTATCTTAGCCTGCAATAAACTTTATAAATAATTGCTTAATAGAATTACTTTGTTGTGTTTTAAACAGCTTGAGCGTGTGTGTGTGTGTGTGTTTCTGTGTGTCACATGTCACATGATTTGTTCAAACACGTGTGCACTTTATGCCGAGAGACACTCCCACTAAATAATATACATTAAGCGTCACTTTATCCAGCATGTGTCCGAAACATGCTCACTTATCCAGCGCAGTGGTAGTGGATCAGTGAACATGTATCTGTGTGTTGTATAGTGACTTCCTATTCCCCAGAGAAGCAGGTCCTCAGTGCTATACAGCCCCTCACACCGCTGAAGGTCACCGGTTTTATGTTCCGTGTATGCAGCTCATAAATTTCTGCTACTTTGTAGTGTGTGTGTGTGTGTGTGTGCACGTGTGTGTGAACTTAATGTGTGCACACTTCTGTTCAGCTCATAAACTACTGCTACTTAGTGCTTGCTGCATTAGACTAATTTGACTGTCTGCCCTGAATACTTGAGCAACAATAGAGTAAGATGTTCCTCTGAGTTAGAAATGAGGGCGGTCAGGCCTCTCTTAATCTTCCCTTACTCTAAGTTCATTAAGAAACACCTCACGACCCACATTATTTCCCCTCAAACATTAACATTATCCATTAAAATAAAACATTGTATTATTATGTATCTGCTATTTGAAGCTTTAGTAACAGAAGTGACATGTTCAAGCCCATTCATGCCATGCTTTGTACTCTCAATATCTTTTCCCGGCTGTCCAGCCCACCATATGTGCTGTATAAAACCAGAGCTGTTTTAGTTTTACACAGTCATCAATGTGTTAGAGTGCTGCAGAAAACTGCTACACTGAGGAAAACGAGATTGGTGATAGTAGAAATGGATAAAAAAGTTCAAGAAAAAGAGACCAAGCAGGCATGTTGTATGCACACCGCTTGGGGACTGGTGGCTGATTGTGCTTTTCCTCCATTTTGGCTGTGGCTCAGTCTGAGCCCAGGGAACAGTGCCCAGACAGAGAGGAGAGGAGGAGGAGGTGGGTGGGGGTTCTAAGAGATGGGAAACAACGAATGACAGAGACGGACCAAGACCAGGAAGAGGTGCCTGAAATAGAGAAGGAAATGAAATGGTGCAGTGTTACCAGTTTAATTGAAAATTAGAGAGCAGCGCACTACCGCCCGCGAAGAGTGGAGAGGAGAAGAGAATGAGAGTGATGGGGAAAAGGAGGAACAGAAAGGATAGAACAGCGTGTAAAGGGCATGCTGCCCAGTTCACCAGTGTGAAGGAAACAATATGGCTCCAGTTTCTTGTGCTCAGCCATTCTGAACTGCCAAATTCATTATTTGTGCATGTTGGGCATGTAAATGTATGCATGTGTGTGTGTTTTTCTATTCACGCGTGTGTGTGTGTGTGGTGTTTTGGCAGCCTGTGCTCCAGATGCAGGGTTGTTATTGTGTGCCGACATATTAAATGGTTAAAGGAGACATTTCTGTGGGTTTCCTGCTAGCAGAATGGGATCTCCTCCTCTCCCCTCACCCCTCTGCTCTCTAGTAGACAATTACAGGATAGGATCTGTTCTCTTGGCTCAGCTGGGCTTTGAAAGGCTTACATGAATATGTCAAAATTAGCAGGAAGCTCTTGAAGCAAAAAGATTCTCTCTCCATGAGCTAAATTGGCGCGACGTCTTTACTTGCTTTTCCAAGGCTGCTCATTTTGACTGACACACTGATTTCTCTTTGTAGACCTTGCTCTGCCATTTATTTACCTTGCGATGTCTCTCCTCACTCATGTTCACTCTCTCCTCTCCCAGGTGTTCCCAGTAAACGGAGGTATAAACGCCGTGAGGTGGAACAGATCCAGAAGGACGTCAGGAGAATGCATTCTTTGAACTTTGAGCATGTGCAGAAGATCCTCCGTGCCAAGCGCCTACAGCGACAAGCTAAAACAGGAAATAATGTCGTCAAGAGACGGCCCGGACGGCCCCGAAAGCAACCCCTAGAGGAATTGGAGCCGACCAGTAGGAGGGAGGAGGATCGGGCTGATGTTCGGAGTTTGGACATGTTGGTGAGCAGGAGAGGTGATGGGAGGACCCTGGGGATGCCTGTTCTGGAGAGGTGTGATGACCTGCCAGGAAGGCAGAGCCACAGGCCAAACATGGCCCCTGAGCCTCTGGAGTTCTCCAACCACGATTCCATCTCAGCAACGATTGAGACGGTGGTCCATCAAGCGCGGTCGGTGGCTCTGCTGGCCAAAGGGACGAAACGCAGAGGCAGGGGCCACAGCAGGGATGAACTATGGGATCCGTCCAGTCAATAGACCTGCAAAAAAGAGCACGGAGAGCAGTTAGCGAAGTCTGTGCTGTTTCAAGCCTATCAGATGCAGTGTTATCTTGATTGTGGGACTCCTCTGTGCACTTTGACTTGTTTCTTCTCTCGGACTTGAGGACTACAGTGGGTCAGCGGAGGAGCAAGAGGTGGGAACACTTCCAGTGCCATCCGTCTGTCCACTTAAACCCACCAGAAGATGAGCCTTTCAAGGATTGATTGGACCTTCATTTACAATGGCACTATATGGTACATTTGATACTGAATCTGATGCTATAAAAGTGTGTGGTACTTATGATAGAGTAGGATATTATGTGATTCTTTATGTATCTGATACAGTGACGTGTATGGTACTTTATGATACTGTATCTGAATTGTGGCTTTAGCCATATATTTACCAGCAAGGGGAGGGGGAATGGTTAATATAAAACTGTGCAGCTCTGCTTATATTTGCCTTTCTGAGGAAGCTTGTCAAAGACGTGGAATAATACAGCAGTAATTAAGCCACCTTACCCTGTTAGCTATCCCTGTTTTTGCTCCCCCTATACCGTGAACCTATACCTTATTTGTTTTTCTGCTCTCTCTGAGAAGTAACTCGTACTTCCTGGCAGCTCCTCACCCCTGGTCCCTGTCCCTGCTTGACTCTCACCACATTTCTTTAGCCCTCCCTGGTGCCTGCTGCTTGACTCCATCTCCCTTTGTCCTCTCGTCTGCTCCCAATCATGTTTTGCATCTCCCATTGCTTGTGCTCCCTCAGCATACCCCCCGTCTCATTTGTTTCTCCCTCCCTGCTCAGGCTTGTCCAGGGCAGTGAGATAAAGGCAATATGGTGGATGAGACTGTCCCAGACTGTACATAGAAACAAAGTCCACTGTTGCCTGCCTTGTACAATGGGAAACCAGCTCATAGACATGTACTGGCATACAGTATATCAAATAGAATTGTTGTACCATAGACAATGAAAGTTGTGTATTGTTTTATAACCAAAAACAGACGTGGGTGCGACTCAAGACAAGTTTGTTTTCAGACAGAAGGAACCACATGTATTCATTCATACACTCTTACATTATTTTGTTTATATCCAGGGGGCATTGCATACAGGAGGAATATCAGGTGTGTTTTCGGTAAACCTTAAAATTGGTTTAATGCACTATGAAAAAAACCATACACTTGCATCAATCAAATGCAGCACTTACATGCTTGTTCCAGCCTTATGTTTTGGCCTTCGATGGTGTGGACATCCATTCCAGAGAGCATGCATTATTTTAATCAATTTGTATATGCAGGCTGCGCAGCCAAAAGCGTCAAACCCAAGCCCCGGTCTGAAATGTGATTGGACAGTTCAGCAGAAGTGGGCTCTCAGTCAGTGTTTTGAGAAGCTAATCCCAGTCTTTCTACTTAATATGATTTTCAATCCATAGCCTTGGAAATATTTTTGGAAAGTAAAATCTAGTGTTTAGGTTTAGAAACCAAAGTCTCAGTATTCAGTGTAAGGACGTTTTATTCAAAAATAATCTGAGTTTAACAAACTCTCACCATGTTGGCACCAATGTAAAGCATTCCTTCGTGCACTCTAGAATGTAGCCATCTTGGATTTTTGTGTCAATGTGTTGAACATTTGTTAAACTCTATCTACAGTATATGTGGCTTTGGTTAGTGGTTGGTATTTTCTCAAAAAAGTATTTCAGAATATAAAGCAATGGATCAGTGTTTCTGTCAGAGTTTGGTTTCAGGAGATTTTGCTTTCTTTCGGTGGGGTGGGACTCTCAGTTGCAGCAGTTCAACTTGTGCCTTATGTTTCTTTCTCTCACCAATTTACATTTGACCCAAGAAAAATCAAGTGGCAAAAGACTGCCCCAGAAATTGAACCATATAGATATAGATATAGATATATATATACTCATGATTGTGCATATGACACATGTGTCTTAGTCATCAGAACCCTGCCACTGCCCGTGTCCCTTCACAGCTTTCATAGTCAGCATCCTCTGTCACCGGACACCAAGCTGCTCTCCCAGCTTCCCTCTAGTTTTGTCGTCATCTTAACAGAAGTAAAAGGGCTGGACTGGTGAGGATATTATAATATCACTGTTTTAAATACACATCATGTACTGACCTACATGCAGTGTTGGAAGCAGAAAGGTCCACTGCATCAGATGTGTTGCAATCCAGTGATATTGATTCTACACAGTGTCCCAGATAATTAAAGATCATGTACTCTGCCCAACATACAACCAGTTAAATATGACATATAACTGTTATATACTTGGCAGAGGAGGGACAGAGGAGGGACAGAGGAGGTTGTTATGGACACCACGTTCTCATACATTGTTGTTTGCTATGCATCAGGCCGTGCCTGGCAATGACCTTAAGAGGAATTTCTGTTCTGAGTCCACCCTTAGGCAAAGAGAAATAAGTGGTCTTATTTACTGAATAAAATGAATTCATGTAACAAGAGTTGTGAATAATACCAGTAATAATTTGTAATAAGTTGTGCAGAAAGTGACTATCATTTCATGGAAACTATAGTTACTGCAGCTCTATGCAGTACAGCCTTAACCAGATGTAAAACTACAGTATTGAAGTGTTTGTTGTAAATAGTGTTAGTACGTCCATCCTGCATGGATATCGGTTGGGCTCGGCTATGCTGGGAATGTCTCCTAAAACCACAGTAGACCTCCTCTCTCGATACAGACTGCCCAAGAAAACATGTTGAAATGATGACCCCCAAATTATTTTCCTATTCGACAAATTCTGCTGTACATTGGCATTCTTCAAAATGCCTCCTCACACCTTTGAACAATGTTTGGAGGATGCAAACCCCACTGTAGTGCATTCGACCAAAAATAGGAATCTCCACTGACTTGCAGCTACTTTGCCTGAGGCAAGTTGGGGTAGTGCAGTAACATGAAGAGTAAGCAAGAGGCTTGTGTGTGTGTTTGTGTTTGTGTGTGTGTGTGTGTAGCGGGGGAGTTCTCAGAGGAAACAGCCAAAAATACACTTGTCCTAACGTAAGTGTGCTTAACCTTGCTCGGCTAGATGACTTTCAGTGGGTCGGCAGTCTGTTGTGATGGAGATGAGGTCTAGCTCTGTGGTCCATGAGGTTTAGAGACTAAACGCTTGGCAGCTTACTCCTCCATACTGTGGTCACTCAGTGGTCTCTGATGTAACAGTTAAAGACCCCAAGGTGTTGTCTGTTCTGTCCGTCTCTCCTTACCAGCCAATGCTCCGGTGCCTTCTAACACTGACAAGTATTGTCCCAATCCAGAGCTTTCACTCCACACAGAGACTGCAGAGGGAATGTGGCTGTGAGAAGGGTTCAAGGTCACTGTTGTTGTGTTGAGCAGCCAATCTGGACCGGCTGCCACAGGAGGCCCCTCAACACTGATGGAAGGATCTTTTCCCTTGTCTTTGGTGTGAGCGTCAAGGGCAGAGCAGCAGTGTTTGATCTTAAACCAGACCCATTCCCTACAGCAACCAGGATGAGATATAACAGCACCAAAATTTTGATCACCCCCCCCCCTCCATTCCCTGTGTAGCATGCTGTGATGAGTGTCCTACAAACGGGGTGAGGGGTCACGTGAGACAGAGCCTCATAAATGTACATGTTGTCATCCTCACAGCATATGTTACAGTTCTAAGCTATAATGTTGTTCAAAGCTGAAAGTGCAGACGAAACATTGAGAAAAACCAATAAACGTACTTCTTTAGAGCACAAAGTGAGCTCTTCTAACAGTGTGGGCATATTTTAGTTTGTATACATAGTGTATTTGAACCTTTTCTAGAGTGGGTTTCCTTTATTTGCATGCTCAACTTGATTGTATGCATAAATATTTTAGACAAGCTGAAAGTTGAATTTCAATTGAATTTGGAGCAAGACTTGTACATTGTTTGATATGTTTCTTTTTGTAATGAATTTTTTAATTCATGAAGCATTTTTGTACATTGTATGAATATTAAAAACTGCAAATATTTGACATATAGAGTAAATACTAGATGCGCATGCATATGCATATATCCTTCACAGTATGTATGTGTAAATGTACACATATATTTTGTATTTGCATTTGCTGGCATACAGATATATGTCTTAAGCACATATATACATGCAATATATATGTATATCCATGTCCGCTGGCATGCTTTTGGTCATGTTTATCTTCCATGATCTTGTAGGTTCATTTTTTTGTTTGTTTGTTTTTTTTTATTTCTCTTTCCTGCAGAAAGAAAAGCTCATTCTTTTGCTACCCTTCTGTTGGCTGGCAGCGTTGAGCACTTATTAAGAAGAACTACAGTTGAAGTTGTTCATGTTATCCATTGTGTGAAATAATAAATGACTTTATTGACAGCTGATGGTGGCAACTGTTTTCTTATTGCTAAATTAAACTGGTTCAGATTTAATGAGCCTGAGAAGTTATTTTGTGATAAGAGCCAGTTGGGACTGAACGTTTGTGTGTTTTTATATGTCTGTGTGTGTGCAGCATGCATGTGAACGTGCGTGGGAGCGAGATGACAGGAGGGCTTGCTGCACTGTTGGTGCTGAATGTCAGATGGTCTCAGTGAATGACTACCACTCCACAATGCGTTTGCGTTTCAGTTAAATGCAAGGGAATCCTCTGATCAGATTATGCTACAGCCTCACTCAGTCACTCTCTCACACACACACACACACGCACCTACACACTATTACTCTCTTACCTCTTCATTAGCCAAGCCTACATCTCTAAATCCTCCCTGCACTAGCCCATCAGTGTCAGCTCTAGGTGGGCCGGGCTGCAGGCTGCTCTGTTATTGGACGGAGCTGAGTGGGAAGTTCCCCACTATTGGCTGCTGCCAACTAGTAAAATTCTTCTGTTACCATGGTTGCAGGGTGAGCTGCCCAAATGTGTCTCAGTGTATCTAGTGGTGCTGATGGAACCGTTGGCACCATCGGTGTTGTGCTGAAAAATACCCCCCCCCCCGTCAGGGCTGCAGTAGGGCTGCACCCAAATCGCTCTCTACTGATGCCTGCAAATGAGCCCACATGGCGCCCACTCCACCTCCTGTACGAGGAAGAAGACGAGATAGATCCCAAGGTCTGTGACCACGATGAAACAGCACAGCGAGACACATCCTGCATGAAGGATGTACTGATGAGCTCAGAGCTGCACTTTCTCTGAAAAACAGAATCATCAATATCCTGTGCAATGCGTGGGATTCCTCTGCTCTTTTACTGTTGTATATAGTTTTTAGCCCAAAGCTCAAGGTACAGAGATCATATAGAAACAAATACAAACCCATCTGTGTTGATGTTGATGAAAGATTAAAGGCTGGAATTAACAAACAAGATATTCAGTGATATTATTTGACTCAAAAAAAGATCAGTGACATAAATAAATGATATCAATTTTACACAGAAAAAACTTGTAAATATAAAGTGCAGGCACAAAAACAAAAACATTATCCATGACACGTCACTTGGAAATGTTAAGGTAGGATATAATCCACCTGGTCAGTAGGTGGAGGTGCTGGACAATAGAAAGGATTGGTTTGGAAATAGACTTTTCACTCTTTTTTCTCCACAAAATGTGCAAAATCCTCCAAAATCTTTTTAGTTTTATATAAGTAACAACACTTATATCTCATCTACTGTGACGTACACATCTGCATAGCAGAAATATTTAAGTGCAGCTATAGATATGCAGAGTTATGCTTTATGTTATCAGGAGATACAGACTGTTGTGGTGAAGAACTGTACTGGGAGAGTGCATGAGGAGGACTGGGCTTTGTGGAATGTCAGGTTTAGGGTTGAGGGTGTTTCTCATTGTAGCACAATAAATATGACATACATATTACATATCAGCTCCAGCTCTTGTCAATTTCACAATTTATAGAACGCTTCTAAACTTATGGCTGAGCTGGTTACTATGTTAAGTTCTGTTGATGTGGATCTGTTGTTTGCACTTACACTAAATACCCACGTGACATTGCTGCCATTTTGACAAAGTGCTGAGTAATTTAGTGGTTTTGCAGGTGAATAATTATTTGTGTTAGGATATGTAAAACTGAGTCACTGGGGAAAAGTAATAGTAATTTGAATTTGCACTTACAGATCAGTTGTGATAAAAGTGGCTCACTCATCCTTTTTTAATGTTGTATTTTGTTGTTGTACCAGTTACAGACAACTCACCTGTGTAAGTCTTTGCTATTTACTCACAGGCCTGTTGCTTAATTTGCTGGAGGATACTTCACTGCTACAGGAAAGAAAGATGAATAAAACCAGCAAATGTCTTTTAAAGGTACAGTGTGTAGAATTTTGTGATATCTAGTGTTGAAATTGCATGTTGCAGCTGAACACCCCTCACCTCACCCTCTCCTTCCAAACATGAAAAAGAACCTGTGGCATTCTTGAGTTGTCATAAAAACTCAAAAGGTGTTTAGTTTGTCCAGTCTCCTTATAGAGGACCCCCTTGATGTAAATATAAAGTATTTAAATATAAAGAGGGTAAAGGAAACTACAATTCATACAATTTAGATGAAAGAAACTAGTGAAAACATCATGAGGATTATTCTACATTAAATTTCTGCCAATATATCCCTTTCACCTAAATCTTACACACTGGACCTTTAAGTCAACCTCCTAAAAGAACTTTCAAAATCTTATCTTTCCCATATCTCACAAAATTAAAAGATGGCCAGCTGATCCAACCAGTCACAGTCTTGTAGAAAGACAATTCATAATAATTTCACTGGCGCTGTAAATGTGTTCTTCCATTATGCTTATTATGATCTTAAAGTGTGTCATTTAAGTGAGTGGGACTGTGGACATTGTACTTTGTAATTGTTGATTTGTCATCCCAGATTCTGCCATCTTCCTCAAACCTGCATAAATCATCATTTTACCACAACAAATCTCCAAATGGAATTCTGTAAGAAAATAAAGGTTTTGGAATGGGGGGGAATCTGCTTTTTGTTGGTCTCCGCCCACTCTCTGATAAAGTACTTTTCATACCAACATATGTTGCACAACGACTTGATGTAAATTATCCTAGTTTGGCTGTGGATGCAGACTGGGGTTAGATCAGTTCAAGACAGTAAATACTTTAAGTGTGAGCATGAATGATTGTTTGTCTCTCTGTTGGGCTGCCTCTCGCCCAAAGTCAGCAGCCATGACCCCTGGACTTCATCTTGACCTTTCTGTCAAAAGATACAGCTGCAGATTTTTCTGAAACTCTGTCTATTGTTCCCTTCGTGCACCCCTCATGGTTTAGTGAACACTGTGAATCCTCAGAAGCTCTACATATGCGTCTATGCAGCAGTGTCTACCATGTATGGAATATTTTCCTTAAAATTAAGACAAGATACCTTTTTGAAAGGGTTCAGAATCTCATCCCCAAATTGACTGTTATTATTTTGCTGCTGTTGCTGCTTGAAGTGCTGCAGTGTCCCCTCAGTGCACAGCACAAAAGTGAGACTCTCAGAAGTGACACTGCAACATTTGTGAATCAATATCATCAGCCACTATTTACAATTTCATCCATGTCTGAGTACTTGAGGATATTTTGAGCTGAGATGCGTTAGAGAATGCTAATGAATATTAGTGACTGTTAGTCACACTCGCACATCCCAAATCACACAGACCACCAACAACAGACAGAGCCATAAATTTACAGCACATAGTCGTCCAGTGAGGGCCAACTAACCAGGAAGCCTGCCGTGTAACCAAGCATCCCCGCAATCTATCTCTGTTGGTGTTTTCAGAGGATGACTATTGCTTGTGTTTATGAAGATGGATAGAGCAGGCAACATCTAAAGACACCCTCCCTCCCTGCTCTCTCCCTCCACGGCCATGATGGGAGACACCATCTGGTGGTGAAATGTGTCAGTGCAGCCTGAGCCCTCATGTCACAGCCCCCAGGACAGACAGCATCACCTGCCTCACTGTGGTCAAAGCAGCTAATGTGGCAGGTACACAAATACAGAAGTAGGATGATGAAATGTTTTTTTAACGATTTGAATAATAAATAAACTGAACTATGACCTCAAACTGTCAAACCTGCACAGCCCAGTGCTCTATTCATGGATCTACTTGGAAGATCAGTGCAAGAATTACTGTGTTCGTGTGTGTGTGTGTGTGTGTGTGTGTGTGTGTGTGTGTGTGTGTGTGTNAGAGAGAGAGAGAGAGTGAGAGAGAAAACACCAGAGATATGACAGAATGTGTTCTGCATGGAGCCAGCCACTGTTGCCACGGTGACAGTGTGACTCATGGCAGTTTGTGTTGGATTTGTTGCAGTGCCCCTGTTTTCTGTGCGAGTGTATAATCTGAGTGTGTATGAGCATGTGTGAAAATGATCATGCTTGCACATATGTAAATTCTTTCATATATAGAAACATATTTGCGTGCTGGTAAGATGGGGGGTAATTGTCCACCTCTCTCCTTGGTCACAGTTAGAGCCTTTGTTAGCATATTGGCTCTGCCTGAATCTTATTAATGATGCCAACACTTAGGTAATGTGCCTTTTTGATGAGAGTAGGCCACTTAATCTTTCTATTCAGGCTCACACACACACACACACACACACTCTCTCTCTCTCGCTCTCTCTCACACAGCCTCCCCCTCAATCCTCCTAATAAGATGTCTCTCTGTCTCCTGTAATTTGGCAGACGAGTCTATTATATGATACAGTCATATTTTATTAATGAACACCCCGTAGCGAACACATACACTCCTTAGTGGATGAGATTATGTGATGCACAGGGAGCATGTCTCTGTGTTAAAAATGATTCCATCTCCTCGGGTTGGTTTTCATCTGCACCGTTTGTCTACTGCGTTGTTAGGATTGGGCTGGGAGGCAGAGAGCCACATGCGTTTCTGCTGAAGTTGGCACTGTTCCTCCACACTTCATTACACTTCCATCAGCTCTGTGATCGCATGGAACAGTGCATTTCCAAAAGGCCGAAAACAGCAGAATAAAGGACAACGTTCAATTATTGAGCAAAACATTTTGTGGAAGTATTCTTCTTGTCTCTCTCCCTCTTTCTCTCTCTCTTCCTCAGCGTTGTGCAGATAATTCATACCATATGTTTCAGCCGTGCCAAGCTCTGTGGTGGAGAGCACTCCTCCAAAACTCATTTGCTCAAATGCTATTTTTTTGAAATTATATATTACCCAACAGATTCACTTTTGTTTTTGCATATCTGTAGTTAAATGATATAGTTTATTTTGTAGCTATTATTGTGCAACATTGCTATGAGTCTGCAGCTGTGTTTTGGCCTCAACGGTACTTTGATCTAAATGCTAACATGCTCACATATTATTAAGATTAAGAAGGTACAGAATGTTCACCATGTTAGCATGATAACAATGTGTAC